ACTCAGGAAACAAGAGATCAAACCCACGTGAGACCATAGCATACCGCGACACGAGTTAACAAAATACTAAGAAATTTTACACTCTCGTTTCAAGTGATAACTGGGACGACGTTTTATCCGAACTGGACTCTGATAAAGCATACGACAACTTTGTAGCCAAGATAAGAGGACATTATGATACAGCGTTCCCTCTAGTTCATTACAAGAAGCACTATAAATCAAAGAAACCATGGATTACCACCGAATTATACAAGAGAATAACAAAGAGAAACAAGCTCTTCGATAAGTTCATAAAAACTAAAGACTTTGAAGTCCTAGCCGAGTACAGAAAAGTGCGCAATAAACTAGCTGCAGATCTAAAGAAAGCGAAAATCAGGTATCACACAAATAAATTTTTATCTGTCCAAGATAGCCCTGAAAAAATATGGAGTATAGCTAAAGACCTATTATCGTCAGTTCCCAAAGTCATTTCAAACGAACTAACAATTGATGGTAAGACCTATTTGCACGAGTCATTGGCTGAAAAGTTTAATTCCCATTTTTTGACTGCTGGCGCTAGTGCTCCTTCAGTAACTCACAGCGATCTCTATAAAACTTTTATTAATATGAATCAAACGAACTCTATTTTTATTGCACCAACCACTGACATCGAGATCAGAAACATAATTATCTCATTAAAAAACAACACCGCGTCAGGCTTTGACGACCTGACTGTAGCTCCCATCAAAGCAATAAACGACCTGATATGTTATCCTTTTGCTCATATATGTAATAAAATCCTTGAAACAGGCATATTATCTCATAAACTGAAAATAGCTAGGGTGTGTGACATACATAAAGGAGGTGAGCTAAGTAATCTAAATAACTATCGGCCGATTTCGATACTGCCATTATTTTCAAAAGTCGCTGAAAAAGTGATAAACAGTAAGTTTTCTAAATATATTTTTGACAAAAACGTCATAACGCTTTGTCAATATGGATTCCAGAAAGGAAAATCCACAGAATCGGCTTTGTTGAACATAAAGGAAGAACTAATAAGTAATATGGAGTCTCGCCCTTACACACTCGGTATATTTTTAGATTTTCGCAAAGCGTTGGATTCTATAAAACATGACATTCTTATAGGAAAGTTACCACGGTATGGAGTAAGGGGAATCGCCCTTAACCTTATCAAAAACTATTTATTAGATAGAACTCAATTTACTGTCCTGAATGGTTTTAGATCGCAGATTTCCCGCATATAGTACGGTGTTCCACAAGGTTCCATCCTTGGACCTTTGTTATTTCTAATATATATAAATGATATTGTTAAGGTGCCGCTTACTCCCTATATTATATTGTATGCTGATGATACTAACGTGTTCTTTTCCGGAGATAATGTGCAATAGCTTGAAAAAACTGCATATAGCTGGCTTAATGAACTATCTGTATGGTTAGAGTCAAATCAGCTAGAATTAAACACAAAGAAAACAAAATATGTACTATTTAGATTAAAGAACAAACCATTACACTATAAACCACATATCCCCTTTCTAAATTCAACAATAGAGTCTACTAGGGCACACAAATTTCTTGGAGTATGGTTTGAGGAGTTTTTAGGTTGGACTAATCATGTAAATAACTGAAGATGTAACATCTCACGTTCAATTGGATTGCTGCGCAAGATAAGGGAATTACTACCAAACTGGCTCAAACTAAACCTGTACTACGCTCTTGTATATTCTCGGTTACAATATTGTCTTTTAGTGTGAGGCACAACAACGAAAACGAACACTAAGAAAATATTCCTTTTACAAAAGAAGGCTGTAAGAATTATTGACAATTTAGGCTACTTCGAACGTACAGCATCCTCATTCGAAAAATATAAGTTACTACCAATAGAACATGTCCTCTCTTATAAACTGGCAATCGTAATTTTTGATAAGATCAAGCATGATGAGGCACATTTCCTCGATACTTATCTTCATAAACCTGCGGAATACGATCTTAGGCGTACCAATTATACAAAACCAAATGTTAGAACTAACTATGGAACTCAAAAACTACATTACAAAATTCCTAACGTACTAAATAAACACCCAAGCATTGTGCAAATAGCACAGCAGTGTAGAACAATCCACCCGTTCAGGAAAAAAGTTAAAGCATATTTCCTTGAAGCTGATCGCCTACCTTAGATTATTTAATGTGGCTTTTATGTGTTCTCATTGCAAATATTGTGCCTTTAATATGTCCTTCTTTCATGGTGTTATGAAGTGTGGTGATGTGTTAATATCAGACGTGCATTGGATGATTTTGTTGATAATGACGACGTTAATGTCAATGAATACAGCTTTCTCTAGTTCTTGTTTCATGATTTTTTTTAGTTTGTTTCTTTTTTAATTTTAGAGCGCAGCTCTTAGGGGCCCGTTCCCGGCTTGAGCGGCGTCGCCGTCGGCGTTGGCGTCGCCGTCGGCGTCGGCGTCGGCGTCGGCGTCGGCGTAACCAAGGTCATCCCAAGGTCACGTGACCCCCAAGGTCACGTGACCCCTCCCAAGGTCATCTCAAGGTCACGTGACCCCACGTGATCCCCTGAAGGTCACGTGACCCCTCGAGGTCACGTGACCCCTTCCAAGGTCATCTCAAGGTCACGTGACCCCAAGATGACCCCACGTGACCCTTTGAAGGTCACGTGACCCCCAAGTCACGTGACCCCTCTGAGGTCACGTGACCCCCGAGGTCACGTGGTGGCCTCCCCAAGGTCACGTGACCCCCGAGGTCACGTGACCCCCAAGGTCACGTGACCCCTTCCAAGGTCATCTCAAGGTCACGTGGGGTCACGTGACCTTGAGATGACCTTGGGAGGTGGGGTCACGTGGGGTCACGTGACCCCCCGAGGTCACGTGACCCCTCCAGGTCACGTGACCCCAAGGTCACGTGGGGGTCACCTTTGGGGTCACGTGGCCTTGAGGTCACCCCCAGGTCACGCCTCCCCGAGGTCACGTGACCCCCTCCCCGAAGTCACGTGACACCCCCCCCGGAGCATATTAAAGAATGAGGGGAGGAGGAGGAGAAGGGGGAGGGGTCTACCCTCCCCTCAGTACCCTTCACTCCTCCTCCTCAAGAGCTGCGCTCCAATTCGGCGTTACAGGGATTTGTAAACGGCTTTCACTTTTTATTATGACGCATTGCTTATGTTTATATGGATGATATTGATTGGAATGGGTTTACTGATGCCTATGTTTATTTCAATCTTGTTGCAAAATTATTGTATGCTGTCTCTGTTGACTGCTATGGGCAGGGGAGGGGGGGGGGGGGCTAGCGGCCTCGTCAGAGGGCTTTTTTGCCTTCTTTTGTTGCAGCCCCCCAGACATATGTATGACAAATGTATGTCTGAAATAAACTATTCTATTCACGTTGACTGCCGGTTGGCTCTCGGAATCAGAAAACAGAACCGAACTCCGCACAGAAGGCACCCTGGGCACCCTGGGCACCCGGCAGCAAAACCTGCCTGTCTTGGACGCAGCTTCCGCGATTTCCGTAACGTCGTCAACGCCGACAAATTAACTGTGAACTGTGCAGTGCACACATCGTTCCGCGTAGTCCGCATGGTTGCGCGAGGGTTCCGCAATCCGGAGTTGGCCATCTTAGCCAAGTGTACGTAGCGCTGCTGGTACTACTCCTGAACTTGGCTATGTTTAGCGGCTTCGTCTTCTCGTTTGATAAAATTAGTGGTAAAAACGTCAATGCAACCGAAATGTTGTGCACGTTTGGAATGGGAGACGGAATTACAGGCGGCCTTCGCTGCCGCTGAAGCTCAATCAACTAAAGAACATTTACCCGAAAGAAGATTTGTCGGGAGGACGGAATCTTTCTCCCGTCTGCCTGGAGAAGGAGCAAAACGTCTCGTTCCTCCCTTCTTCTGGTCTCCGCTTGGGGGCACGTCAGCAGAAGGGAGGAAAATTCGCCGTTGCCATCTTTTCCCTCCATTTTACAGCGGAGCTGTTAAGGGCTAGGTTCCCCAGGATCGTGCCCACCAGCAAAGAAATGATGACACCAAATTCTGGACAGCCACCGCCATCTATGAGGGACGTCAACAGCCAGACAACTGGTTGCGGAGGAAGAAGAGCGGGATCGGAACGAGCGACGATGTGCGCAGCAGCGCAAATAATTCCGCAGCCGCTGCGAGGCCGCTATCGCCTACTTCGTCGAGAGCTTCAGATTCCCTTGAGACACAAGAGCAGATCGCTCGCCTGGAAAGCCACCGCCGAGAACAGAAGCTACAGCCCCGCTGCTCTTCCTTCTTCCCCAGAGTGGAAAAGCTGAAAGTTTTTGTTTTCTTACAGTCAACGTGCTCTCAACGGAGGAAAGTAGCTGAACCCTTCCTGATTTCGGATTTTCCAGAACATCCACACTGTGGTGAATGACGCTCTATCTCAAGGCGGAGATATCCTTGGTTTCTTTGAGTGCCAGAACTGTTGCGTGCCAAAACAAACTATCAACACACTTTAAGCAGTAAAACAAAAATGTAAATGTGCTATGCATCTAGCCACAAAGCCTGGCGATAAAGGACACCAAAGTGCATGCACTTTGTCAAGAAGAAGAAAAACAACAGTAAAACATACAAGTTTTACAAGTCGTTAGGCCAGACGTCAATTCTGCACAACATATTTTGTTCCATGATCAATCAATCATGCAGCGAACCCTAAAGACCTGGGTGCCAATTATTACCGGCACCCAAGGTGTTGATATTTAACGGTATCTTTACAACAAATTTCAGCAGCTATATGACTATCGAGCCCCATGTACGCCAAAAAATGAAAAAAAAAACAAAAAAACAGAACAAGAACAAAAGATGCGCAATGCCACCCTCATTGACAGCGACATAAGTATGATAGTGTGCTCTACTGAATACCGAAAAAGATAAAAACGGATACTTAAAGAGAGAAAGCAGAAAATGTTATCCCTGAAAGGGATGAGCTTGAGGTTCGTCAATTACATAAATCAAACAACCAAGCGCTTACGGACGTAAAGAGCACGTTCGCCGCTGCGTCGAACTGCAGCTTCGAAGAGATGGATTGCATGGCGGCGTGATCTGCGTTCGTGGCTGATTTCATCAGGTCGTCGAACGTCACTGTGCCGCTATGAAAGACAAACATAAAATCACTATACAAAATGCACATAAAAAGTTAAATTTTGGAAAAAATATGGATCGAGTTAATTTTTATAGTGTGCCTTTCAATTACCTCAGCGCTCAAAACAAGGCCTCGACGATTTGTTCACTTGGGGCAAGTCAGACCTCACGGCACACAACGTTGTGCAATATTGAAGGATACTGCGAACATTGCCGCAGAATAACGTCACCAGAAGCGTGTAGTATATGTCCGTGTTTGGAAACGGTGTAAATAGTAATAACTTAGTCCCGCTTCCCAAGCAGTCAAGGAACAGCGATCGCAGACGTTTTTAAAACTCGAAGTTCCTTTTCTTTGAATCTGGAACGTCTTCATTGGGGGACGGAACCCGGTTGGTAGTGGGACGCCGTTCTTTCAGAAATTTCGACAGGGCTTATCGTACGAATGTAACTCGCAACTTTCACGGCCTATAGAGATTTGTAAAAAGAGCTCTCTGGCCGCTGCCATTTTGCCACTCGAGCGACCCCTATCAGCCAAAAATATCTGCCACTCGCCTGAGCTGTGGAAACCCGGTCAGCGCGACTCCCCACCTGCATTGTGCATTCGGAGTTCACCGGCTTTCCTTGAGAGTTTTTACTTTATTTGCCCGTATAGGACGCTTGCGTGCTTTGTGTTTTTTACACTCTGAGAACCAGGGAATACCAGGGCTCGTAGCCTGCTCGACCTTCGCAGGAAACGAACGAAGAGAGCGAACATCAAGGAGCCCGCGACGAGGGCCGTTTGACGTTCTTCAAGAATTATTGCCGTTGAGATAATCTCCAAAAAGCCTTCCCTGCTATGTTCTCGGTCTTGGCGAGAAGTAGCTGATAGGGTCGGGCGGTCCGGGATATGGGGACGGTGTAGACACGTTTGCTCATATGCTTTGAAGCTGTGAAAAAAAAAAGCATTACTCTTCAAAACGTACTCCAAGACAAGCCGGATTCCGTCTGACCGTCGTGAAGTGAATATGGTCGACACTGTAGATTGATTATGCTGTGTTATTCGAGTCTTTTCTCAAATCCTGGTCGGATAACGCGGCGTCGTGGGGTACGTACAATATATGTTGTTCGATTGGTGAGACTCATTGAATTTCATGTTGTGAGCGGGGAATATCCATGCTGTTCGGCTACACTCTGGTGCGGTCAAATATTTTAGGCTATTAAGACATTTGTAGATTGACATGGCTGAGTGTATGGTGCCGTTAAAAAGATCAACAAAAAAGAAACAAACATTCCAGTTGAATTTGTTGTGTCGCGTACAGACTCGCCGAAAATAGCTTTCATTTGTTTGTTTTTGTTTCCAAAAATAGTGCAATGCTTTTTTAAAAATGCTCTTCGCCATAGAACACAAAATAAAAAAATAAAACTGGGCAATATTGCCAGCACCAGCGTTCGGAATCGCGCTTACGCAGGCTGCCACAGCCTACCGACGAGAAAACCCACAGCCCAGCGCAGTAGCCCAGCGCAGTCAGGCAGCAGTGACGTACACTCTCAAAACCAGGGACGCGCGCTGTAAGTTGCTTCGTAAGCGCTCTTACACCTATCAAGATGGCCGCCATCTGGATGATCGACACGAGCACTGATCTTTATTTAAGTAGGCTGTATCTCGGAACGGGAGTCCGCCAGTGGCAACACCGGCGGCCATCGCTTGGCCCCAGGTAATACATGCAAGTGTATGGTAAAAACACGGAGAGGTAAGGACTATGACGTGTATAATTGACGCTTGATTTCGAATCCTTAATAATATTTTGCGATCATTGATTTATGTATTTCATGGCCGAAATTAGAACCCATGAAGATGTTGAACGTTCATTCAAATATCATGCGTGCAAAAGCACCCACGGCTGAGCTGGCAAGCTTGCTTGTGTCATGGAATAAGCAAATTAACTTGCTTTCATTAGAAGCGTCTAAAATTACGCTCAGCTGTTCCTGGACGTCCAACACGTTTGGCAGTAACAGTGGTTTCCCCGGAGTTGGCCCCCACCATTCAGCGTAACAAGACCTTCAAACCTGGCGTCTGCTGATTCCAACTTACTTCGATACCACGACCAACTCTGCACTTACTCTCTGCAACTCTTGCCTCGTTGAGCTGCGTCATGTTTTTCGACCCGCAGATTCAACCTAACCACATATTACTTATATATAAAAGTTGAGACGCCTACCGGTTTTCATTTTTGTGCACGAAATATTTTACATGATTCCCCGAAAATACCTGAGAAGTTTAATTTCCGTTTGTTTCACCAAACCTCGAAAGCAAAATATTTTCTCGTTTGCCCCATATTGTCATTTGCCGGTGTCAAGCGATGGCTCCGGTGGTCGTCACTCGACCCCAGTAAGCCAATCCTCAAATTGCAATCCAGCCGACTTGCTTCTTTACAGTCAACGTCGGTGTTTGGAGGAGACGGCAGAGAAAGGAAAAGTACAGAGCCTGAGTAGTGGACAAGCGTGGCGTGACGAAAGTGGATAGAGGACAACGAAAGAGAGAGTGTTCAACTTCTTAACCAAAGTCACGTGGTTCATGGATGATCACACTGATCTCTATTTAAGATTTGCTGGGTCGCAGATCGCACCTCCGCAAATGCGGCAACCGGTCGTCCATCTTACGTCACCCGCTCTTTCGCTGTCAAGACAGTTACCATACTTACCATCTGTAGGTCACGTGTCAACAGACTCAAGGGTCATCGGACCACTGCATTGACAACGCATTAACGGGTTACGTAAGACGGCCGACCGGTGGCCGCAATCGCGCAATTTGCTCGAAGCGGGGATGCGCGATCCAGCAAGTTGTCCGAGATCAGTGGGCTAGCAGCCGTCGACACGGTATTGCCACAGTAGGTAAAGAAGGTCAGAGTTGTGTAAAAGTTGCCTGGTTGCCATATGCAAACCGCGAACATTAAGAACTATTTTTGTATTTATTAGGGCCCTAAATACTCTGAAATGTATTCGGTATGCCCATTTAACTAAGGTGGTTTCTTATAACGAATAATCGAATTCTTCTGATTTCCGTGTCCTGCCCTTTAAAGTGTTTTCATTTGGGCTTAAATCTTTCTTAAATCACTCTGAAAGCACTGACTTGCAACACGACGCATCTTCGGAAATTGGAAACAGCGCGCACATCTTGCAGTTTGTGTCAACTCAGACGTTCATGAAAATAGGTGCACGTTTATAGCACTTACACTTCGGCATAACTAACATTTTTCATGAATGGTGCATGCTTTTCAGGAAGAAAATTGAAAATTTTTATCTAACATTTATAGTGCACTTTTGTTTTGCAGTGAAAAGCATGTTCGATGTGCTATGCTTCCGGGCCGTGGGCAGGGAGCAATGCTTTGAGGAGGGAAGCTATCTGAAGGCGATTGAACTCATGTTTGCCTTGTACTATTGTCTGAACATCCAATACCCAAGTGAGCTTTCCGCAACACAGGAATTCATGCAGAGGTAGATAAAAATCTCCATACCTTTCTGCATTGATTTATGAGAAGGGAGCACCCGTTGGACCTTAGAACGGCAACCAGCGTTTCACTGATACAAGCATCTTCTACTCCTGGTCAATCTCTTAGCGAAATTCTGGCTGCCATTCTGGGGCTTTTTATCATGTCTCATAGTCTCAGCTGCACCACTGCCTTGTCTACTTTAATTAATGATTCTTTATATGCATTATGGAGCATAAGTGTCGCATGCGAAGGAAGTCAAGCAAATCAGAGTAATAAAATATTTGACTTCCAACTTGAATACCTCATTAACCGTAGCATCACAGGACGTTGCTGCAAGAAATTTGATATATCTTACATGCCAGCATGGTTATAGTATGCCCCTTATTTACCATTAATATCAATATATATTATAAGGTGCATCTAAACAGAACATAATAACGTCAGAGGGTTGTGGCCCTAAGAGTATCTTGTGGTTCGGAGGTTATCAAAAGCGCAGACGCAGCATCACAACATTCAGTATTTAACCTGCTCTTGAAAGGATATACTTCTTGATTTATACTGTGTTTGCCAGGTCCCAGTAGAACGGTGGACTAGAAATATGTCTCGCATATTTCTATATGCGAGGCACCTGATCCTTACGTTTAGACCCTCAGCCATTATCTAATGCGCTTCTTATGAGCCCAAAACGGTGAATATTTGACGCACATCTCCGTGATATTCGGGAGTAAAAAATAGTAAGTAGAGACAGCGAATGCAATTGCAGAACAACTATACTCGTCTTTACCTTCAGGACTTCTGTTGCTACTCAAGAACAGGAGGAGACGGACCCCTTCTACGTGGAGAAACTTTAAATGATAAATAATTCGTACACTCTCGTGAAATGTAAGCAGGCCCAATCTATCTATTGCCGTGGTCTGCATCATCATTTCATAGGCCGCGCAAGGACTCGGTCAGCTGCTCTAGACGAGGGTGTGGTAGTCTGTCCGATTTTCGCACAGTGCATCTTACAGCCTAAAGTGCTTCCTCGAGGGCTTGTGCACATGTCCAGCTGATTTTTCGTTACTGACCGCGACCGCCTTTGCAAGATTGATCGTAAGTATTCTGAAGAACCGTTGCCAAAACAACAACCAACGTTGCTCGAACACCAGCGCAAAGCAGCTCGAAGGAGCTCTCCGAGTGGGGTGAAGTGGGGTGAGGTAGTAGCGCCCCTGGCGGCAAGCAAGTGAACTACATACGGAGAAAAAATGCCATTGACTGCCGAGCGATTGCAAAGGCCGTAAGAAGAGAAAGAGAGCGCGCGCTTGCAGTCCGGCCGTGGGTAGGCAAATGTTGCAATATGTTATACCAAAACTGTTAAATTTCCTTCTAGAAAAAGAAATTTGCATTGACACTACCTCCTTCAAGGCTTTGCGTTCTCTTTACCTGTAGCAGTGATTTACCTCCCCCACTCAAATGAATCTTTAAATTTGTTTATGCTATATAGAATGCACTCTTTTTGTGTTTTTCGGATTCCTGTTTGCAACAACTGTGCATGCCATCTGCGTAGGTAATTAATAACTGTTTTGTAATCTGATGCATATATATATATATATATATATATATATATATATATATATATATATATATATATATATGTATATGCATATTTATATATATATATATATATATATATATATATATGTGTGTGTGTGTGTGTGTGTGTTTTTCTTTTTGCTGCAATGCCAATGTACGGGGCCGAGGGCTGGTCAAGCCTCCTTGGAGGCTTTTATCCTTTGCTCCACCATGCTTCATGGAAAATTGCCTATTATCATTATTATATTATTTTAAATTTTAATTTTTTTTTAGATTCTCGACGGGAGTGGTTTTTTTTTTTAATATTTTTGGCCCCGTGGGTAAATAATTGAGTTGCAGCTGGAGAAAACAGCGGGTCATGCAGGAGTAGTTTTATCTGGCATCCCACATTTTAGTCTGAATATCGTAACAATATACAGTTTCTACAAAGCCTTGTCAGCAATCTTTTCACGCTATGAATTGGCTCCGTGTCGTGCTTTTCATTCATTCATAAACTCACCCCCCCCCCCCCTTTCCACTTCGCTTTTACTCCTCGTTGCTGTCCCCCTTTTTTGGAACAGACTCCATCGGTGTAGGATGTGTCTTATTGTAGGCTGTCGTTGGAAGGCGAAAGAGTTGTATTTGTGCTTCTACGCCTGTTTTCTTATTATAGGAATCTGTTTATGCCACAAATGTATTACACCTAGTAGAAATTCCAATTGTAGGGCACCAATTTTTTTAGGTTTTCTTGTTTTTCGCATAGCCTTGATTGTTCTGGAAGTTACCGAGATTGCTTTCCACATAAAAACTAGACGTTGCCCTCTAATTATATCTCAAAAATAAAGCTATGAGCCTGCTATACTTAGTATTGTATCTGGTGTGCATTTGTATAAAATTTCTAACACGGTATTTTAGCGCATGTTAATTTTCGGGGGCGCAGTTGGTGGTAATTCCTAATATTAAGTTGTTACCGCAGGCTTGAAGAAACACATTTAACGCGGCAATGTCATCTTCAAGGGAAGTTTTCGGACTTCCATCGTTGAAATAGTTTCGTAAAATAAGTCACAAGTTAGTTTCGCAGTCTAGTGCCAGTCAGAGTTAATCAAATGCTTCTGCACTGCGCTTATGTGTAACTCATAGTTTGCCACAATCGACAGGTTTAATTTGTGATCGCATTCTGTTTAGAACATATGCACATTCCACATTTTTTTCTTTAGGTTCTGTAGTTTTAGCCCACTAATTATTTTAAAGAATAAAGGTACGAACATGTTTTCCTTAGTACTGCATTTTTTTGTGCGCTTGCTTGAAAGTTCAAACTAACACTCTGTTCAAGCACCTTTTAATTTCTGTGAGGCGCAGTTGGCGGTAAGTTGTGACAGCAGGCTTGAAGAAACTCATTGAACGCGGCAATTACATTTCTAAATACACGTTTCGGACTTCTCTCGTTGAAATAGTTTTGTAGCATAAGTCATAAGTTAGTTTCACTGTCTAGTCCACGCCAGAGTTAAGCTGAGGCTCCTTTACTACGCTGATGTGTAACTGAAAGTTTGCTGTGGGAGGTTTATTTTGTCATCGAATTCTGTTCAGAACCTAATCCTATCCCACATTTTTTTACAGGTCCTGCAGTCATGTGCAAGTACTTAATTGCTCTGGAAGTTACAAAGATTGCCTTTTAGATGCAAGCTGGATGTGGGTCACTAATTATTGCTCAAGAATAAAGGTATGAATATGTTTTATTCGCAATACATCTTGTATGCACATGCTTGAAAGTTCTAACACTGCGTTCAAACACTTTTTAATCTCTGGGAGGCGCAATTGGCGGTAACGTTCTTAAAGAAACTCATCGACGGGGAAATCATATCTTGGAAGAAATGTTTTACACTTCCCTTGTAGAAATGGATTGGTAACATATAAGTCACAATTTAGTTTCGGTCTTGTGCGCCCGCCAGAGTATTGTACCGGCATCGTACCTGCATCGTGCTGGCTAGCGGTCGCACTGCAGTGACTGACTCTTTCATATACAGCGTGAAAGAGTGTTGATACACTATACGAGATCAGTTTCAAGCTGTCTGAACACTCATGCCAAATTTGTGCTACACTGTTAGTATTATACCTTCGTCGTACCCGCATTGTAGTCGCTAGGGTCGCACTGCAGTGGCTGACGTTCTCATATACAGCATGACCCAGTGTTGATACTCTATGCGAGACCATGCTTATGCTGTCTAAACACTCATGCGTAACTTATGTTACTTTTTGTAGTATTGTTTAGGTATCGTACCGGAATCGTACTGGCTACCAGTCGCACTGCAGTAGCTGACGTTCTTATTAAATTCGAATAGATTGAATGGCGACCCCTTTGTAACGGGGGTCGCTCGCCGGAAGTTCCGGTGAGGGCCTGCCAAAAACTAGCTCAGATGTGCTCCCCGCCAAGCTACAACGTGAACCAAATGATGAAGTATGCGAGACCAGTTTTATGCGTAATTAGTTCCTTTTTTAACATCTCAAAGGCATCGGACTGGCTAGCAGTCGTAGTGCAGTGGCTGACTTCCTCATCCAAGTGTAAATCAGTGCTGGTATAGTATGTAAAACCAGTTTCATGCTATCTAAGACCTCTCGCCTAATTTGCATTACTTTTTGTAGCATTGCGTCTTCATCGCACCTGCACCGTATGGGCGTTTTCCGACTGGCAGTTATAATGCAGTTGCTGACTTTTTTTATGTACAGTGTGAACCAGTGTTGATATACTGTATGCAATAAGGTTTTATGCTGTCTAAATATTCACTATTAATTTGAGTTGGTCATTGTGTAAAAAACAAACAAAAAAGGATTGATACGTATACTTACGGTTTTGGAGAATCGCCGATTAGAATCACGTGCCTTAAATACGGCAGTCTAAAAAAGGAACCGTGAAGTCATCGACATTATTTGGCAGGTCGGTAGCACCGACTTTTTATTGGCGTGATAAGCTGGTGTCGCTCTAATTACCTGGGGCTTTTGAGTTCGCCCGGCGCAGCTCTCTCCAATTCCGGCGCTATCTCGAGCAGCGACTGATAGTAATCTTGCCTCGCAAACTTTTCCGACAGAATGACTGCCTCGCACTCAGTCTGCACAAACAAAACATGCGAAGTTTGTTCAGTATTACTTTAGTGCAAAGTGCTTGTGCGATCGATTCATCTTATTTTTTTTGCAACTTTATCTATCAGGTAATTTTCGACTAGTTTTGGCGTATAAAAAACTAGAGTCTGGTTCACACACCTGGGTTTGATTGCGATGGACTGCGCAACAACCTCTTGCAATTGCTGAGAAAGAGACTAAAGCGCTGGATGAATTTTTTAAGTTTCAAAGTGCTGGCAGTCTGGTGCATGCTTGGACGCACTTAAGCAAAAAATTCCGGAGCGGCGCCGCTAACGTAGTGCGTCGCGGCGGCGCGGCGCCGGCGTCTACTGAAGATCAATAGAAGCGGGTTCGCAAACGGCGGCGCGTCACTGGCTGCCACAGCAGACCAATAAGACAGTACGTTTCTGAATGTCACTCGAATCGATACCTTTAGCTCTTTCGGAAACATATATATGATTACTTGTCATGAATTTATTTATTTCATCCCTCAGTGCCCAAAGGCTTTAATTACGATTGATTACAAAATATAGTAATTGAATTATAGCGAACCGTACTGCAAAAATAAAAAGAAGTAATTGAAGCGCTAAAAGGTCCAATAAAATGTAATTGTTGATAAGTAATGTCGTGGTCGAGATACGACTGATTGGATTGAGTAGGTTTACTCTAGCATTGGAATATACAGATGTGAGCCGTGTCGTGTCTGGTCGCGATCTAGTGAAGAGTGGTCCGCGCGCAGAAGCGGCGGGCAGACTCCAGGGTCACACGGCGGCGGTGGCGATGATGATGATGACCTCCCGACAAGTAATCAGTTGCTTGTAACCCGTTACGTACAAGTCTGGTCACGGGTGATTGGAAGCCAGGGGCTTGGGCAAGCACTTGGCTATATTTAAGGGCCTGGGTGGGTTGCTTTCTGTTGTCTGGTGCTTCTTTCCACTCCAACGGATCGTTCTGTTGCAGGTTTGGTCATGTGAGAAGAATACATATGTTGAATAATTTCATTCTCCTGACCACAAGCCTGGCATGTCGTTCACTAAACCAGCCAATTATATCTATCATGGTAACCCAAAGTTCGGAGTCTCGAGTCGTCCTGCGAGTGGCTCAAAGAGCAGGCGGCTGCCGAGGCTGTTGTCGTACAAGACACTCTCTGCTAATATTGTATTTCTGCAGAGATTGTACAGTCACAGAGCTGACTTAGCCTCGGCTGTCTCCGTCTACAGGATCATCTTCGGCTACAGCAATTCCGTTTCCCACTTCGTGCTACGTGTCATGGGAACTGCGAAGATAAACAAAATAACGTATTTTTTCTATACTTTGGTAAAGTCTCTTTCTCCACCTTGTCTGTACGCCAGTCAGATAGATGCATACAAAAATATTATTTGCTTATCGTCTTCTGTCCAAGAATCGCAGCCGCCCATAGAAGACAATCTTGCTTATGGCTTCTCTGGCCTCGAAAGACGACCATCCGAGATCTCCTTGGACAGCCTCGTTGGCGACCATGCCGTGGCATCCCACAGCCTGACTCCCAACGTCTCCATGACGGCGGCGACAACCTGGCCACATCTCCGGGTATAATCACGACAGCGTTAGCAAAAGTCACATCACGTACTAAGGCCGCCTTCCGAAATTCGCGCGAAACGACAAACCGACTGCAACTTCAAAGGTTTGGCTTCCGAAGAACATTAGAGTCTCGCTTGACTGATTGCCAAAGTTGCAGATGGTGCTCGGCTAGGCACACTCGATTATTGTAGAAGGTAATATAAAGTTACCTATATGCGTCTTGCACAGAGATTCTCGCGCCCTTAAGCACTTAGTTGCTCAGATTAGGATCTTCAGATCCAGCGTGCTGCATCACTGCCCACTTTTTGTAGTTAAACCGGAGGTGTCGTGAATACGCCTCCTCTTCGCACTTGTGTAGCAACAACTGTAGGGCCTCTAATTCAGAGGCCCTTCATTAGTTGCTAGTCTCCGCTGAAATCTCCGCTGCGAGTACGATATGATTCGAAAAAGTGCTGGCAATGCCTAAATCACTCCCTTACCTTCCTCTAAATTAGAGAAAGTAAACTCGGACCCCGACTTTATGCTGCTGAATGTTCTGCTTCTTTTGCCTTAGTTGCTGTATTTACTCCTATTTTTAAAAAACGTAACGAGTAATTAAAGTAATCCGTTACCAATATTTGATAACATAATCACATTATAAGTTACTTCGGGAAAAAAGTAACCAGGCAATTACAAAATTACTTCAAAGAATAACAAATTACAAGTAATCTGTTACTTGTAACGGATTACTTCCGAAGTGGGGATAAACTTCTTCCCTTTTTGCGGGCAACTTCAATACGGCGGGTGATGGTAAAGATATATATATGGCAGACGTCGACCCCGTCAAAAAGCTCCATGGAGCTCAGTTAGCACCGATTCGCCTCTGCCCAAGCCATTACGTGTTTTTTCGCGATATGCATGTAAGCTTTGTATACCGTGGAAGTCACTCTGATGGGGTTATAGTCCCGGCGGTGTTGTCTGTTTCCACCCTCCTTAGGAATCAAGACAACACAGCCAATGTGCCAGTATGGTGGTAAACACTCAGTGCCGCGGAGGATCACGGTGAAGATCACAGGTATTGCTCTATGAATTCCTTTTCCATGAATTTAAAACAAGACGCCGGTATCTTGTCCTTGCCCTCTGAGATGAATTTATGCAAGTGTTCCATTGCTCACAGGATCGTAACCCAGACAAAGGCGTCCTCCTGAGAGTTCTGTGCGTGGCATCACCCAGTCTTGATGAGACGGTGTAGATTATCCGAAAGAGATATCTTCCTTAGATAGTCAGAGAAGTGGGTTCCAAAGCCTCTAAGTTCCTGTAAACTCGTCAACGATGATTGGTTCTTAGTCTCTGCTATCTAAAAATTCGAGGTAGCACCAAAACTTCATTGGTGCATTTTTGCCGCTGCACCGACCATCACCCTAGCCAGATCTGCCGTTCTTATCTTCTGGTACGTGAGCTACCTAGCATATTGTTTGCTAACCTGGTTGTATTCCATTTCTCGTCTATCTCTTGCTCAAGCCCATTGCGAAAAGATATACGATGGCACTTGACATCCATAAATGGCTGACTTGACAAAACCTTCCCACCATCTTTTGCGGCGTCTGCTTCCATATAGCCTTTTCTGTGAATGATGTTTGATAAGGACTTTAAGCACTGTGATGCGTGTCCATATTTCCCCGCACGTCTTCTGATGGCACTTTTTTTCTTCAAAGTTCTGCATAACAATTTTTACACCCCGCTCTTTTAAGTACGTTCGTCTGGGGCGTAGATCTCTTTTCGGTCCTTTGTTTTTTTTCAAGTGGCTTTGCTGAAGTTCAGCCTCAAAGGTTTTGGTCACTGCTAATAGCGTACTCGTCATCTTCATCTACTCAAACCTGAGTAATATGTTGTCCGAGGTGGTGAGGCACTAATGCATAATTAATGCAGGTTTTGCTTCATCGAGCACACCGTGCGAACTGTTCCTCACATATTGACCGTAGGTTAACCACCTTGAGTTGAAACTCTTCTGCTAGCTTTAAGAGTAGCCCTCCATTACTGTCCTCCCACCCATCTAATTCCTCCAGATGTCCATTAAAATCCTCAACATTGTTAGCAACACACGCCACATTCGCCTGGTTCTAGTCCTTTCGTGCACAGTGCACTTTCTAATGCAAGATAAATCACGCAAACCGCGATTAGACACTAGTAGCTTCCCCGTAACCCAGAGATGGTCTTGGCAAGGCCTTGACTCTCGCTGTTACGATGACGAGCTACGCCAAAGAACACCCTTTCCCCCTCTTCCCTTCCCTCCGCTGCCTTTTATGCCGGTTGCACCCGGTCCAATTCCAGTCCGGGCGTGCAAAGTCTTCCTCAAGGTGACACAGATGTTTCTTCCTGACCCCGTAAAGCTGCGTACCCTCAAAGTTCATTGCATAATAACGTTCTTGCTATTTTTGATCTGACCTTGCTCCTTGAAGGTTTAAAAAGCCAGACGTCTCTGTCAGGTGTCTTCGGTGCTTCCGCCCTTTTATACGCCTTAACACTCTTTCCTTTACTGCGCCCCCCCCCCCCCCTTTATTACCCTGTCGAGATATCTCTAACTGCGGCCCCCAGTTGTCGCCGCACAGTCTCTGCAATCAAAAGCGCATAGCCATGGAGAACCTCCGTCGATAACCGAGCTGTCCACACTCCCCGGAGCCATTGAGGGTGTTTGCATCTCCATATTGATCTCCATTGCATGCAGCATTGCCTCGTCCGGCGGTCTCTTGCCAGTCATTCGTGGCAGGCTCTCCGGGATGGGGCCAAATCGGTGGGTACATAAGGGACTTTTCGCTTGGAGTTGGCAGCAATCCCCAGAAAGCATTCTTTTTTTTTTTAACAAAATATTCCCAGTGTGGCCGCTCCGCTTGCCCCTTGGTATTCTGCACAGGCTGATGTCGTTGGTGGGCAATCTAATTTTCTTTTTGGGACGATGAAGCTCTCGGTTCGCTGAATACTCGTCTAGTCTTTAAAACGGAAGTCCTAGTGGAACTCTTCTCTAGGACTGCGTGGCCCCTTTGTTGATGTCCCAGCTTTACGTGTTGCGTGAAGCCTCCACTGTCCCCCTTCCCGCGATATGGAGGCCTGCAGAGATTGTAATCGCCTTTTTTCCTTTGTCTTAAAAAAAATATGTTCAGCTATTCCACTCTGTGAAGGTGGTTGGCCAGCGAAGCTGTAGAGTATCACCAGAAATGATGCACCAAGAGACTCACAAAAGTACTTCACCAAATGTTTATTTACAGTAATACATCATTTTGAAACCGTAGTCATTAATAATATTGTGATCACTATGATATATACCCATGGATTTCATTACAACTTTGGTGAGATTCTTTGCTAAAGCTAAATTTATACATGACCGATGGCGAACGTAAGAGGCATGTTGCTCTTCGGGAGTAATAACTATACATAGCCTTCTCATAGCAGCTGCAAAACACACTAGAATGCCCTGAACGGCAGCTGCTGCTTTTATATATGAAAACATAAATAAAAGCAGCCGCAGTATACATATATGTATATATATAAAAATCAGCAGTATACATATATGTATATATATATCCAGTGACGTCACCCTACTCTACATGGAGGTGACTAGGCGTATATGTACCCTGCATTTCCATACAATGGAGCGCTTTTAAATGAAGTTTGAGACATTTTCTTTTGCAGACGGATACCAAAAATGCATGGAACCCTATCCATATGCAGCTCCGCTGTAAAACGATTTGCAACCTCAGCAATGCGGCCTGTCACAATCTCGATACCATCTTGGTTGTAGTGAAGCCCATCTCTATTCATGATGTGTGTGACTGCTAGGTCCTCAGTTAAGTCCACATGCTTGGGTCGTGCTTTGTCGCACATTTTTGTTTTCAACATGGCGTTTAACATTAAAGCTGCAGCCGGCATTTTTGTTATCTCTAGTTGACATTCCGAATATAGAGTAAACCACCAGGAAGCTTCTTCTTTTCGCCCATCTCTTCTCCAGGTTCTCGACAATAGCAGCCGCTCGGCGTCCTTGTAATTGGTCGTCTCTTCCAACATGCAGGAAGTACATGCTAGGAATTTTCCTCGCCAGTTTCTCGCATTCCGCGATCATCGTATGAACTGCATCCAGAGTTGCGGTTTTGTTCATCAGTATTTCGAAAACTTTTCATCGTCTATTTCGCCGAAAGGCGATTGGGCAAGCTAACCTAAGTTGTGTCTACAGAAATCAAGGCCTTACGTGTTATCCTCCATAGAGGTTGTGCAGTCGACTGGGTTTTTCTGTACGCCTCTTCCCGGCATGACCAGTGGCCCTGTTCTTTACACGAGTCTGCTTATTGGTGACTGATTGTTCATGCAAGCGAAAATATACTTGGTTTGTCATTTATTTCTTCCGGTTCAATGGCACCTGAAGCGCTATCTGGGCTTGTGTAATGAACACACGAATGCTTCTTTAAACCGCATCTTCGCGATTGTCTTAGTAAACGTCATCTGTACGTGCCACACGCTTGACCCCCCCTTTGAAGATTTCAAAAGGGTGTTGTTTTTCCTAGGTCATTACAGAGGCTACCTCTTGTTTGGTGGGTCTGCTTTTAGCTGCCTATTAGAGAAGTCTCTCACCTGCGCATCCTGTAATTTGGTCAATTCTGCTCCCATCTCTTCACATTGAGCAACCAGACCCAGGAGCCCTTCGCGACCCTTTCTTCTGTCTTGGCTTTCCTTTTCAAACGTGTCCAACATTTCTCCGAAGCGACAAATTTTTTTAGACCGAAAGAATCATATGATACGCCACATTACGTCAAAATACGGCGTCGTTGGAGGCCTGACCGAGCAATGGTACCAAAAATGGCCGAAAACGCAACGAGTAAAACATGTCAAAATGCTCGGATTAACGTAAAATGTCTCAGGTGGGTTCCTGTAAACAAAGTAAATTAATGGCTTTGAAAAGAAAATTTGGTACATTTCGGTCAGGGTGGGAACGGAACCCGGGCCTCATGGGTCCTAGACGAGCACGCTTCCCAGAGGCCGCGGCGGCTCCACGGTTCTGGCTGACTAAACGTGCGCCTAGTGCGTGCGTCATTGGAAACGGGACGGCACAGTCAATGGGGAGGAAGTTGCGCCACGTCATGAATGTATAGAATTAGTGCGCTGCCTCCCGCGCGTAACTTGATCTTCAGATTTTATCGGTGCTGTGTCTCCTGCGATGGACCCTCGACGCGACGTCATATACGTATACGCAAACACACACACGGAATCAGCGGAAAGAACTTTAATTCATGTCGAAAGCATCAATCTAAGCCATTTCACCAAAGGGACTTTAATTCTCTCGCTTTCCACACGTAAGCAGTCTTAAGTTTCTCTGCCAAATTTTTCTCTGTCTACAACCATTCGATCCAGATGGTGTGTCAACTTGCTCAGCTTTTGTTCCAGCTCTTCAATCCGACTTTCACTGGATTTTCGGGCACAATCCAGTAATGCAAAACACAGCTGCAAGGACAGCTCGTACTGTCTTCTGTCCACCCCAAGTTGGTAGGCGTAGCCTCACCTCGCATATTGGCTGAAAAAGACCCGTTGCCCGTAGGTTTCAGATTTCCATCTTTCACAATCAGCTCCGTGGAGAACGTCGTGGGATCGACAATGCAGTCCTTATCAGCCTTGCTGTTCTGCCATTCGTCGATGCAAATCTTGGTATTCTGGTCAGCAGCCAGGGGCAGGGTAGGCTGGGAACATTGCGTGAGGAACTGGCATTCTAAACTGCCGAAGTGTTGTAAGTTGGGCGAGTTGTTATGATGACTTAGTGAACAGAACAGTGTACACAACGACAAGGACATAGAGAAGAAACTTCCACAACACACAAGCACTTGTGTGTTGTGCATGTTTCTTCACTCTGTCATTGTCTTTTTGTTCACTGTTCTGTTCACTGTGTTACATAATGTCCAGGGTCTGTGCGTCAGCTGGAATGTGCCGCGAGATCAGAAGAGGCTCGCATTGGGTTCCTTGGGAAGTAGATGTGGTTCGTGGCTCTGAAACGTCCAGCCGCGCAGCCCACATGGTCTTCTCTAAATCTTTGTCTCGCCATGTGGAAAATGAAAATGTCCTCGGAAAACACGTCTTCTTCGTTAGCTACCATTGTGTTTCCCAGGAGTCTTACAGCAAGATTACAACACCGGACACCTGTAGGCATATCCATGGGAGCTTCCTCGGTGGTTTGTAAGCGTTCCAGGAGCTTGCTTTTGTTACCACTGAATGAAAAATCCAGTGCTTTCAGCTCCCGTTTCAAATAGAGAACCTTCATTGCCGCCATCTTACAGACATGCTACTTCCACACTACGAGCGACGCGTCGCGGTGGACCACAAGAAGTCGTAGCGCTGTCGGTCGTAGTCGAACACAAGTGTGTGAACTTGCTGAAAAGTTGGACGGCGAAGCTCTTTCTGTATTGAACCTTAGAACTCTGAACATCGCGTCCTTGCCAAAACAACTATACTGCGCGCTTTCATTGCTTTCATAGGCCTGCTGTGCATAACCTTCAAGCTTGCACTCTCAAACAAAATCCCCGAGTAGAAAACAAGGAATCTTGGCTAGACATTTAAAATAAATTCTTTTTCTGTCTTATGTTTTTCTGGTTGAATTTCTGTAAAAGTAATATTATTGTCTGTTCTCGTTTGTTTGTAAACAAACCTACTTTATATTTCGAACAATTTGAATGCACAGTCTCATTTCGTAAAAACCTGCAGAAAAGAGTTCTTTTTCTTGAAATAGTAAAAAAAAGGTTTGTTCTAAAATGAAAAAAAAAGAAAAAAGTAAGAAAACTTAGAAAACGTACGTTCGTGGGAACCAGTTTAAACACTGATTTATTTTACACGGTTTAGAAAGAAACGAAAAAACGCTGTATTGATACAATAAAAATAGCTATAAGCAAAATATTTTTGCTGATAAGTGTTTTTATCTATATATCTAAATACTTTAACAGGAAAGTATTTGATATATCACTGATTTCTTTTTTTCTGAATAACAAGTTTGTATTATCCCTATTGACCGATCTGCCAGTAGGAGGTAATCGGCTTCATCAAGCTGCAATTCTGCAGCTTGATGAAGCTCCTTTTTACAGTTTCTGTTCACTACCAAGGCGCACGTTGCGCTGACATCACATAGTTCGTCGTGGTACTACCTTTCCTGGTTGGTCCGCGGAGTGATTCGATGCCGTGACTGGTGCCTGCTGGTGTTTATTTTACACATGTCTGTATCCCCCACCTGAGTACTTAGAATACACCCAAAGGCTAACTGTATCCCCTTAGAAGCTCTAGAACGAAGCCTTATTCACAATTAGAAGAAAAAAAAATAGAAAAGAAAAAAGCGGGTGCATATCGACGAATCGGCGATCAACTCACATGGTTCAGGCAATGCTTAAGTTCGGGAACCTGGTAGGCTGTGCTGATGTTAACCTGAATAACAAAAAAAAAAAAAAAAAAGATGTAAATGCCAACAGGTTTTAATGCTTGGTCCCGCTGGGTTATGGTACAAGACGACCTACCAGAACGAGTCCCGCCTTGGCGGCCGCAAACTGGACCACCCCCCATTCGTACAGGTTCGGCGCCATGATGCCGATCATGGACCCGACAGGAAGATTGAGGGACATCAAGCTCGCTGCAAACTGGTTTATCTGCGAGAAAAAAAAAGCACTGTATCGTCTAAAACCAATGAATGACTAATGAAAGTTCAGAGCAACAATAGCCATCAGTTCGTGATATTTCTCGGCTGTTTCTATCTTACCCCCATCTTGTTACATCGTGACGTCATATCTGAGGTCGTTGTTCGCAGCACATGCTCTAAAGTAGATCTTATACGTCGTTTGATAAGAACAACGGTACGGCATTGATGGAATGCACGTTGAACATACATAAAGGTGGATTCCACAAAATCAAGATACCTGTTCTTGGCAGAAGATAAAAGGGAGCGAGTTCTCACCATGCACTGCGAACAATGATCTCAAATATGACAACATTCGACAGGGTCATGGTGAGCTAGAAGGGGGAGGCGTAGCCATTGCACGCTTTTCCCAGCGGCCGACATCCGTTCCGCGCTTCCACGGAGCATCCGCGCCGTAGAGTTATTACAATAAACGCTAGGGGTTCAGCTGGCGCTAGTGTCTACGGGATATCCGGTTGCAAATTGAAGCAGACAGCATGCAGTCTATTTTTCCAGTCTTCCTGTGTATTCCTATGGGAAAACGCGCGTGAATTTTCTTTCGTCGCCAGAAAATAACTTTTGTTATTTCGGTTGTACCGGATAGTATGATCCTTTATTAATATTGTGAAAGTGTAATTGCTTTAGTTACAGCATTTTTCCTTTACCACTGAATAATGTTAAACTTCGCTATATTTCAGGCCCAAACCTCTGTTCCATGGAAGGGATGTAGAAACGAGCGACGATTCTAAGCCAAATAACGATCGAAAGGAATGTAGAGTGCGTTCAAAGTTCGCCAGCATTCCGTTGGCGCTTATATATTGATAATATGCGTGTCCTCTCACTATATGAAAATGACCCCGTCGTGCATCTTTACGAGTGTTTAAAAAAAAACGCTCGAAACGTAAAGAATAAAGTACCCAGGCAGCACACCAATGTCGGTCCGACATTGGCCTAACATTGGCAAAGACCGGCCTCAATATTGGACAATGTTGGAAGCGCTACCCTTTCCAATGTTGGCCCAGTGATCGGTGCCAATGTAGGGCCAATGTTCAGCCATCGTTCCAGCCGATGTTGGCCCATCATTGGTGCCAATGTTGGGCCATCGCTAAACCATGGTTCCAGCCAAGGTGCTCCCACATTGGCGAAGACCGGCGTAATATTGGACAACACTGGAAGCGCGACCCTATCCAATGTTGGCCGTCATGCTGATTTTTGGCCATCGTTGCACTCGCCCAGCTCTTAGCAAGTGCCCTCGCAAAGTTGTTTGCAAAAAGGAAGGTAAACAGACACAAGGGATTGTTTTGAAATCTCCTAACAGTTTATTACACACAGCTTATTCTGTAGACAAGCACAATCACAGCAATTCGTAATATGTGAAGAGGTACTACTCAGCTGTGATACAATTAAAAAGACTGCAAAGCAAGCAACAACCGGGGTAATTCTTGGGTAGTGTCCAGTCTCCCGGCAGCTGACAGAATTGTTTCGCCAAAATTCTACCACTAGTCGCCCCACATTGGCGGTGCAATCAGTTCATCGAACTACATTTCATAGACAGATCGTTTCATCAACACGCGATGTTTCATAAAAAAACTCAAAATATGCTTTCTTTTCTCCTTTTTTTGTTGCAATGAACCGCTTCAGATTAGCATGAAGCGGCGTGAAAGGGTGGGCTGGTTCGGTGAGCACGCGCCTCAGGAATACACGCGCGACGAAATGCCCCTACAGCGCGCAATTCGCGTAACGAATGTCGATGAAACGTAAATATCGACCAGAAAGATGGCAACGAAACGTGTTTTTGTGAAACGCAGGTAGAATAAAAAAGTCAGTATTCTACCTGCGGTTGTGACATTATTTCAGACAGATAATGGCAGGCGACTGTCGGTAAGATTGCGGGAAAATTATTCTCCCAGCTGCCAGGAGATAGGCAATCCCCAATTCTAGAGGTTATCCGGAAGATTGCCCATACAAGAACGGACAATGATCATCAAGTAGGTTGCAGCACACTTACGTTGAAAATACTGGACTTGAAAGATGTAATCCGACTTATATGTCAACACGGGGTGCACTGCAGAACAACCACTGACACACAAAAACTACAAGGAAGTGATCCGTGAAGATTCAACACAATGTAGCACAGGCTGCCATTTGCCGAACCGGACACTAAACTGTTCACATAAATGTCTTGGGCCTCTTTCAAGAAACCGACACGGGTAGGACTTTTCGAACGAGATACCATTTACCACAAAAGCGAAATCCACAGCGGGCCTGCACCCCGCAGGCCGCATCACGCGCGAAACTAGGTCCGGTCCTTGCGACGCAGGCATTGCGAGTTTGTCAACGGGTAATGTGTCATCCGTCAAACCACATGATCACACTTCTGCCGTTACCCGCGCACAGAGAGCGGATTCAAGTCCGGCGAGTACGCACAGCAACCGCGCCTTCAGCTTAGGGAGAGAGAGAAAAAAGAGAGAAGGAGTACAAAGCAAGCAGGCCAGAACGGGGGTGGGGTGCGCTTACAAAGGCTTATCTTCAGGGGCATCTCAACAATGAACGGAGCGAGAGAATTTGTCACTTCTACCCAAGGTTGATAGTGCAGTAGAAGTTATGCGTGACCTTGTGCTTTAGGCAGGTTCCGTGCTCTGCCTTATCGCCAGCTTTGAGACAGTAGTCACGTGACCCTAACCGGAGACAGGATTGGCCTTAAACACGCATAGCGTCTACCTTGCTGTCATTACCGATTTAACAGGACAGCTCTTTGAAGGTCAGCTTTCGAACTTCTAAAGAAACTGTCCAGTCCAAAAGTGGTTCTAAACGGGGCAAGTGTGACGACAGTATGTTTTGCGTCGTATAACTTACATTATAATTTAGAATGAGGAACTAAGCGCGACTATTTTTTGCGCACGATGTACACAAATATATCTATAAATATATAAATATATTTTTTATCAATAAATTTAAAACTGTTTGTGCACTGTTAGGTTCGCGTTTTTAAACTTCAAATTTTTTTACGAAAGAGTTGCACATAAAAGACACCTCGAACAGCACATCGTCCGACTTTCAACACACAATGAATCACCGACGCTCGCAGTAAGAAGGTTGCGATGCTGCGCGAACGGTTTCTGAAATATGCTGCGTAGGGTACGCCGGGCGCAACAGCTTCGCGACCGTTCGAAGAGCAAATGATTCGCGACAACAAAGTAGCGTCTTGCAGCATCAGTAAGGTAACGGGGCTCGAGAGTCCCACGCTCACATTTCCGCAGAGCGAGCGCGGCCGGCCAGATCGAGGCGCAGTATATATGTATCTGCTTGCTTACTTTTACCACTTTGCAAGTTGGTTCCATCACGTGTCGCACTGTCGTGCAGTTTTGCTTTATATGATTTGTCTAATTTTCATGTAAGTTTGTGAAAAATGTTTCAAATAAAAGGTTAATTAAACCACTGTTGAGTTCCCATTGATTAAGTTATCTATATGCCATATTTCATTGAGTTTTGAAAACCAGGTGACATTTAGCCTCTATTTTAATTCTTAAAACTGACGAATGCTGGTCCCAACTTGCTCCAAGACCTCGTTTTTGCTGCTAGCCTGCATGAAAAGTTTTTTTCTGCTCCCAAAATTTCTCCAAAGCTGCTTTGCCCAGTTTCATCCCTGTATTTCCAATACTGGAAATTGTGGCTTTAACACTCCAATATTGAACAGCATATGACAGCATACATTCAATATTAGAAAGCCCTTGGCCTTGGCAGTGCAATATGACCAGCACAGGTCAGCATACTTCCAAAATTGGAAATCCAAATTGGCTTTTGCAGTCCACTATTGGACCAGCTTATGCCAGCATGAGTTGGTCTTGGAAAGCTGTTGGCTTTGACAGTTGAATATTGACCAGCTTACGCCAGCATGCATCCGATATTGGAAAGCCATTGGCTCTAACAGTCCAATATTGGACAGCTAATGCTGGCATGTATCCAATATTGGAAAGCCATTGACTCTGACAGTCCAATATTGTACAGTTTATGCCAGCATATATCCAATATCGCAAACCTATCGGCTTTGACAGTCCAATATTGGATAACTTATGCCGGCATATATCGAATATTGGAAAACCATTGACTTTGACAGTCCAATATTGGACAGGTTATGCCAGTATATATCCAATATTGGAAAGCCATTGGCTTTGGCAGTCCAATATTGGATAACTTATGCCAGCATATATCCAATATTGGAAAACCATTGGCTTTGACAGTCCAATATTGGACAGGTTATGCCAGCATTTATCCAATATTGGGAAGCCATTGGCTTTCACAGTCCAATATTGGACAGCTTATTCCAGTGCATCACCAATATTGGAAAAACATTGGCTATGATAGTCCATTATTGGCCCAGGTAATTCCAATATTGGTAAACACATGGCTCAGTTGGGCCATTGTTGGGCCATTCTTTGTCCCATCAATTCCAATGTTGGCCCAATATCGTGTGCTGCCTGGGTACGTGGGCTACGGAATGTGTGTTTTCTTAATATTTCCTATGTTGGGCAATTTTATCGCGCACCTGTTCTCTGGCTTCCCCCTATTTGCAAACATTTGGAGAGTGCGGTTGATGATTTGAACATAGAACAAGTATCTTCGCATATAAAATAGTTTGTTGTTGCGCTCCTGTTTGTTCCTCTCTTTTTACGCAAAAACATGCATCCAAATCTTCGCATATATTCATGAGCAGAAAGAATAAAACAGTACTTATTTATTGCAAATCTGACTATATTACGTGACTTTCAATTTATTTTGATCGTCTGCAAGCACAAGGAGTTAATTATCCAGTGTTACTGCATAATTCTTGCCGTCTCTCTTGGTTTTCCACATGTCGTTCGTACGTTTGGCACGTATATCCCCCATGCTGGAAATTGCCGACGCCGTGCTCGCGCTAACAGTGTCCGAGAGTGCACATAAATGCATGTACGAAGCTGTTTTAGC